AGCCTGCATTACACATTATGTGTGTGTCTTTCTCTAGCAAGACCCTGCCTGCATTGCCCTGTTTCAAAGGGGTGTAAAAGGCTTTTGTTTTTTCTTGGAAGTCTGGAATTGCTCCTTTTCTATTTTATGCAGGTCTTGGAATTGGGTTTTATAGCAACAGAAAGTGCTTTTGAAGTGATAAAAATACATTTTCTACATTCATGAATTCATAAATTTTAAGAGCAAAAGGAACCATTACATTCATCCAGCCTGAGGCATTGATAGATTTACTGCACAGGAGCTAATGGACCAGAGCACAGTCCCTTTGAGATGACAGGAGAGAATTTGTGCAGCTTTTTTCCCTTCTTCCTCATCATCATCACAAGGGCAACTACCTCAAAACTGCCTTGTTCAGCAAAGACCCTGCCTCTAGTCCAACTTGAAAGAACATTTATTTAAACACATTTTAGAGAAAGCCAGGCTGCTTTCCCAAGCACTCAGAGAAAGCAAAGGTCAGCACACCCCCATCACCCCAGAGCACCTCAGCCACTTCTCCTTGACCCCATTTGGTCTCCCAGCAGCACCAGACACCCAAAGCAGCAGTGGCTGCTGCCCCTGTGCTCAGGCTTTGTTCTTTACCTGCACAGCTCTCTCGTTGGGATATGAAGCACTTGGCCCCTGGGACTCAGCTTATTGCCTCATAAAGCAGGATGGCAGGATTATTAATGTGGTAGAACTGCAGGGTTTTCCAAGCAATTTATGAGTTACCATGGCAGTTCATTAGCTCTCAGCCCAATGACCCCTTCCTGGCAAGCATGAATCAAGCAGGAGGCACGCACACATCTAAATGTATGACAGATATTCACATCAAAAACACATCCAAGGCCATATTTCCTCCATTTTGTTCAGCACATGTCCAACTGCAGCACTAAAAAGTCAACAGTTATCAGGACTGATAACCAATCCACTGAAACAGGTCTAGGCACAAAGAAATTCACAATCCCTTTTTCTTTTTTTTTTCATTTTTATTCTCATCAAGCCATTTCTGATGGATGCCTGCATTTAAAGAACAGCAGGTCCTTAGCAGAGGGTTGTATTTGCAGCCTGTATGGAATGCACAGGGAGGCAGCAGCTCTGGCAGCAGGGACAGTGGGCACGCTGAATGGTTCCCTTGACTTTCAGTGCTCAGAAAAAGGTTTCACTTTACACACAGACAGGCCCCTCATCCCCACTCAAGGAAGAATTTGAGAAAATATTTAACTTTCATGGTAATTATCCATAGGTCTTAAAATAAAGCACACACTTCAACGCTTCCTTGAGTCCAAGTGGCACTGTGTGTGTGAAAAAATTCCACAGGTTTTAATGCAGTGCTCAGTTAGGACTTCAGCACAGGCCAAAAAAACTAATCTAGCAAACTAGAGAGGAAAGAGATATAGAGAATAAAAGGGAGCCTTTGAAGGTAATAACAGGACAATTAAGACAATGAAAAGACTGTGAGCACAATAAGTTTTATTAAGAAGTACAAAACCACTACCAAGCTACTCACACATATTACAAAAAATTACAATGTTTTACCAAAGGAAGATAGAAACAAAGGAAGATGTTCAGGGGAAGAAGAAACAAGGACAAAAAGATTTCTAATAAGTCTTTATTGTATTATTTTTCTCAGTTGCATTAATGCTTTTTTATTTTATTTTCTTCTCTAAGACTTTCAGGGTATTTTAAAGAAAAGGCAGAGCTAAAATTTTAATATCTGCCTCTATTACAGCTGCCAGACTCAGAACTCAACCTCACCATGCCTTATGTGCTTCCCAGAATGAACTTGCCTTTTTCTTTGAAAAAATAATTAATGTATTTATTAGTGCAGTAATGGGACCCACATACTGGAAAATCCCACCTTCCATACCATTCCATTAGCTAAATCTGGCTTTGGGCCAAAATTTTGTATTTCAGCTCCTGCCAAGGTTCAGGTTTGGAATGTTTTTATGTTGGAGGACTTTTCATCTGTTTTCTTGGCTGGGCTAATGGGACCCTAATGCACATGAGAGATCTCGATCACACCAGGCTGCTGGGTACTTGTTTGCTTCAATCATACACTCAAACTGGTGGCATTTCCCTCCTAGATAAGTGATGCCAACAGGCCTTGAGCCCACGGTGCAAAGGGGTATAATTTGATATGGAGGACTGCTGACTTGAAACATTCTCACTGGCTGGAGTAATTGCAACCAATATTTTAAAAACATACAGCTGGGCAAAAAGTTAGATGACACCTTTATTTAAGAACAGATTCATGCAGCAAAACTATGTGTGTCTGGCAGGAATTCTCATGTCCAATAAAACATGGAAGTTAGAGGAATGATCCTTCAAGAAATATGGACATGGCTTAAAGAAAGCAAAGTTGTTGCCTCATCCATTTACCTCTTGGAAATCTGGATAGGGCCCAGGTCCTGCTGTCAAGCTAGAGACAAACAGTGTGGACATGATGACCTGAGAGACCTTGCAGACCTTCTCCTGCCAGGACTGGGAGATAAGACACCTCAACAGCTCTTCAACTGGCCTTGGTCTACATTAACACTAACCAGTCTGTCACAGGGTCCATCTCAGCTGTGATTTCTGCTAACACCTCAAGAGCTTTTCATTAATATTACCTTTTGTCACCTTATAAATTACTTACTCAGCAGAATTTTCATGAGTTGCTATCAGAAGAAGACATATTTGTTTCCTTCCAGTTCTTCCCATGCTTGAGCACCAGAAGCAGAGCTCAGCTGCTCTGTCCCTATAGTTACTGAAGTTCCTCACAAAGGAACTCATGAAGACTCTCCCACCCACAGCCACGTCCATCACTGTTCTTGCTCTTGACAACTCTTCTGAAGCACAGCAGGTCAGTAGCACTGACCAAGGACACATGGCATTTTTTTCTCACAGGTAAGACCAGTGACACATGGCAGGACATCTCTGCCACGGGCAGGCAGGCAGGGAGGGAGTGACAGAGAGGAGCAGACTGACTGTACTGTCTGATCTCAGAGAGTGATGGGGTCACCTTCTTGAAGCAGCAGCAAAAATTTCCCAAGCTGCGCCAGGGTCACTGCATCTTTCACTGATCTCCAGAAAACAGCAACAAGAAAAAACGTGTTTCCAAGTGCAAGAGGTGGGAGACAGGGATATGTATTGAGATACAGGCAACAGGGAAGTGCAGTCATGGCCATTTGTCCCAGCCTGTCCCCTTTCAATCCCTCAGTTTTGGTGAAAGTAGGAGAGCACTGTGCCAGGAGCCATGATGTGTACAGCTTTAAGGAAACCTGAAACAAAGAGACAGCCAGCAGGAGGTTTTCTACCCCAGTATCATTCTCTAGGTCATAAGAATACCAAATTGTTTGGTTTTATCATTTATTTTAAAAGGATTCCAGACTTAGTTCTGTCTGGCACAAGCACATGGAACTGGAATTTGATTTCTTGTTTATCTCATTTTCACATGTTGAAGGACTTTGCTATTTGAGGCAAGAAATATGTGTCTGTTGATCACAAAATCCAGTTCAGAGACATGTCTGAGATCATGGTTTTGAAGAGGAGCCATGGCCACCTTCAAAGGATGAGGCAGATTTTACCCACAGAAAAGCAAAACATACCATTTTGTGCTCTCAAGTGTGACTCATTTCCTGATGCAGTTAGGCTTGGACTAGAGAGCTAAGGTCAGATTAAGAGATCATTAGTGCCTTTTATAGTGGACTTTGAGACCAGGAGCACAATTCTAGAATAAGGCCGTGGAGGCCTTTGAAGTAGAAATCCTCTTGGAAATACATCATGGGGCTCTGTTTGTTTTCTCTGGATTTTTGAGGGATGGAGCTCCTGTTTTGCCTTTTACATTGCCTTTGTTTCTGTCAAACCCTTATGAGGATAAGCTTCTTCTTAGATGTTTATGAGAAAAGTGATATTAAAACATCAATTTCCTGACTAGAAAATTCCCTGAGCTTTGCAAGGATAGCCTTGCTACTTCTTGCTGCATCACTCCAAGCAGAACCCAACCTTCCTGCCCCTCCTGCCAAATGAAACAACAATCAGCCAGACGAGCTGAGAGCCTGATGCTTCTGCATCAATGTCTCTGCTCCTCAGGGTGCTGAACATCCAGCATGCCATAGCCACCACACAAAATATGACAGTGACTCCATCTCAAATGCTTTCTGTCACACTCAGCATCTGCAGTTACACACAGAGTGACCACAGAGCCATTGCTGTCTGAGGGCACAGACAGCTTCTCCTTCAATACATGTCCCACTGTCTGCTCAGCACATGCAGAACAGCACCAAAATTTGCACTCCCAGATGGATGCAGAGAGGAACACAGAGAGAGAGACTGAGCTGATCCTAGCGACAACTATGTAAGCAAAACCCTGAAGGAAATATTTTCAAATATGTCAGCTACAAATGACCAAAATGTCATCCCAGTAAGAAGACAGATGTTGTTTTTATAATTCAGAGCTCAGACAGGAACAATTTTTTCTCTGTTGCAAAATAAGATGACTAGTCAGGTAAGAGCACAGTCTGTGCTCAATGCTATGACTTAAGTTCCCAACTGGGCACAAACTGTTTATTTTTTTGTTTAATAACAGTATTTTGTTAGAAAAATTGTTGCAATTGTTTACCTGAAGATTTTGGGAGCGATTTTCTACTAACACAGTGAATGAGTATGGTTTGGTAATCACCTGATTATATGGTACAAAATAAAATAAATACAGAAAAAAGTAATAAGGATCCTACTGATAACCACAGCTTTGCTGCGGGATGCCAACATTGATGAATGGGTTAATAAATATCATTTCCACATTTTTTGCTTTTTCTATAGAGCCAATGAGTACAAAAAGCGATAGAATTAAACTACTCTGGTGATCCAAAGCTTTTCCTTGTCGCCCAAATAAGAATCACCATGAGCCAATGGGAAGTTCAACAACTTTTTTCATCTTATTCTTCACACAACTGTTCAACAAACATAGATGCCAGTGAGAGTTAGAGAATTTTGTAACTTACCACAGGTGTAGATGACATTAAGATACTTTTGGATGCCTGGGTAACAAGGATCTCCAAATTCGTAGGTGCTGGCATATATGCTGCAGCTTCTTTTCCCATGACAGCGCTTGATCATGAGCTGGAGAGCAGTAGCTGACTGACACTCTAAAAGGGAAAAACAATATCTATCTGTGAACGTTTGTCCATTCACAACAGAAATTGCCTAAAAATAATTTACCAGATGCAGACTGTGAGAGTACATACAAGATTTCCATATTTAAAAGTCTTTGTGTTTACATGAGAAAGCGTATCTGACTCTAACACACCTCTAATAATTTCAAAGAACGTTGAAGAATCTGAAACCCTCATACATCCATACAAAGAAAGCAGAGAATAAAATATATTTCATCTTTGTAACAACCACAAGAGGTGTCTCAAATCCCCCTGTCTGGTCCCTGTTGAAGACAAAGGTGATCAGTGTCTCTGTCTGCTGTTTGGTGTTGTATTTATAAATCTAATGAAAATTACTATGAGGTGTAATAATTATAATATTATCATCTACCATATAAGTAGAAATATTGTTTTAATCACATTCATTCCATGCAAGTAGAAACATTTTTCATATTAGAAATTTAGAATATGGGAAGTTCCAAAAGTGTTTTCCCATATATTTTTCTCTACCAGGTGGTTTTACCTGTTTTCTTACCTAGGGTGAAAACAATTTGCACAGATTAAGTCTTGAGCTTTTAGGTACAAGACTGACAGTTCGCTTTCACTGTCCAGCCAGGACCAAGCTCAGGGGGAAGCTTGCAAGGAGACATTTCTTCAACATCAAATCATTGCTAAAAGGAACAGGACAGCTACACAGAATGGAATACAAACCCCTTTTGGTCACTAATTAGGAGGAAGGGAAAGGAAAAATGGACCTCAAAAGGTACTAGAGTGCTAGAACCAGCATAGCAATAAAAGCCATGAGAGACAAGGGAAAGCCACAGGAAACCAAGCCTACAGGGTAACATGCATTTTTTCTCAAATCAAAGGCAGCATTTTATTTCACATGCTGCAAATGACAAAAGAAGAAGGCTCCATGTGCACATTTTCATACTGAATGACCAAAACTTCCTTAGGGGACTTCTGATCCAATGAGTGTCAGAGGTTTCAGTGGAAACATCTGGCATGCAGCAATCCTGATTCATTGTCTTTTTACAAATGTCCAGCTAGAGAAACTCAGCAAATCTAATTGCTGCAGAGGATTTCATGGAGGGTGCCTATTCTTTTTATTTGTTATTGTTCTCACACATAACAGAGAACATCCCACAGCTGTCTGCTTAGGGGCCTTGCCCTAAGCACAGGAGCATACTGTATCCATGGGGAATTACACATTGTTGGTCCTGTGAGAGGCACAACAAGGCTTTTGCATCCAGCATACCCAGAGATGGACAGCCTTTGGGACATTCTTCTTTTAGGAATATGCATGTACTAACAGACTCCAGACTCTGCTCTCCACCTTAACAGATCAAATTGACTCTTCAGGTGCCAAAGCCGTAGGTTCATCAGACTGAAAATGCTTCTAGGAGTTTTATTTGTCATGTACTCTCACACTAACAGTGACAGCTTTCCTAGCCATCACCAGTCATGTCCTGGTATTGACGGCCACCTTCCTCCCATGCAGTTCTGAGCAGGCCATGGTCTCCACTCAACTTGACTTTAGCAGCAGCATCTGTATCAGGAAACCAAAGGGGGCTAAATTATGGACACACCTTTACTCCCTTTGTTTAAGTGATACCCTGTGCCTTAGGATGATTTTGCCAACAAGCATTACTCCAAACAGGTAATACAGCCTGAGATAAAACAGGGCTAGTCCCAATGGTCAGTTTGCAGAAGGCCCCCACTGTATTTTTGGATCTTTGAGCAACCTGGTTTAGTGGCAGATGTTCTTGCCCATGGTAGTGGGGTTGGAGCAAGATGATCTGTAAGGACCCTTCCAACTCAAACCACTCCAGAATTCTATGAGCTTCTGGACTCCTAGGAGAGTTATCTCAGCCAAGACAACAAGCCATGGACCATGCCGCAGTTTCACAGTACAGATCTATTTCCAGTACCTGTGTTCCTGACACTGCTCAATTACCAGTACACACATAACCCCAGACACCCAACTTCTTTGGGCACAGGCCAGGCCACATAGTCACAAATACCTGTAGTGAAGGCCTCAACTCTCCAACTGCCAGGCTGCTCCAGCTCAAGCTGCACCAGCCAAAATGAGTAGAAAAGTAGAAGGAGCTTTCTATGCCTCATGAGGATGAAAGTCCCTCACATATAAAGTAGGGCATCAAGATTGTAAAAGCCTCTTTTACATGGACTTTTTGCAAACCATAGGATGAAAAAATATATCCAGGGAAAATGTTGCCTGCAGGGACCACAGCACATAAACCATTCCATAATTTAGCTGAAAGCAATATCTGGAGCCTATCCACTCCAACCTCCTGCCCAAAGAACAGCCAGCTTTGATGTTACATCAGGTTGCTCAGGAATTTGCCCAGGCAAGTTTTGTAAATCTCCATGGAGAAATATTTCCCAAACTCCTTGGACACTTGATCCTGGGCTAAGCCCCTTTCCAGGTGAAGAATTTTTTCATTGTATGTCATCAGGTTTCTATTGCTGCAACTCATATTCACTGCTTTTGGTGTTCATCTGCTGTTTCCTTCTGTGTGTTCTCAAAAAGAATCTTCTGTAGGACCACTTATTACTTAGTAAAAAACAGAAATAAGTTCCCACTCAGAGCTTTCTCAGCTGAAAACTGAACAACCCTGTTTCCCTCAGTATTCCCCCATATGCTGTATTGAGGCCCCTGACCAGCTTGGTGGAGCTCCACTGGACTTGCTCCAGTTTTCCAACATCTCTCATTACCTGGAGAACTCCAAACCAGACACTTCAGTGTTCTGGTTAAGCTGTAACAAGTCCTGCCCAATTTGCTACCATCTACAAACCCTGTCCCAGGTCATTACTGAAGATTTCAAGCAACCTCTGAATGCTTTTAGGTGGCTGCCAGTGTGATTTCAATATAGCACAGTGGAGGTTTCTTGTCATGTGCTCCATTTCCTTAGCTCTTGCTGCAAACAGTCGCAATTTAGGAAAGTCTTACAGTTTTCCCTGACCTCCAGACCCAATGAACACCAGAACGTGGTGAATACAGGAGTGGGAGAAAGTCATCTGAGGTATCCATGTTAGAACTCTACTGACAACAATAGTCACCCACAGGGTAGATTCAAATACTCTTCTCATTTTCCCCATGGTAAGACCTGAGCCATTCTCTTGGAAACAGTCATATTTTTCTAGCCCTGAAAAAAAGAAAGAAATGGGGTCTAGGCACAAATTCACAAGTGTTCACTTCAAAGACTTCCTTTTGCTCACAACAGGGAATTTTCCCTGGTTTTGCCTCCACACAATTTCTAAGCAAAAGTGCCTTGTACATTCCCATAAAGGCCAGGGAAGCAGCTTGCAGTGTTTTGAGGGAGGACTACACCAATACTGAAATTAGCTTTGTCTCCCATCTTCGATTTCTTGGTCTGTCAAATGTTCATCCTCCACATAACATATCAAACAGGAAAATGTAAGAGCAGCATTCAAAATCTCCAAATGGGACCATCTTCCTTACACCCTTCAAAGGGTTTCTGACAAGGAGTGCATTTAGCTGGGTGACAAAATGTCATACTCAAGCATCTTTATTCCCTCACTAATGAGCACTGAAGATGTCAATAGTACATCTGAGAGGTGGCTGAGTGATAGATGAGACTACAGCACCTGCATAAATCACAGTCACCACCATGGCAGTCAGAGCTCTAGAAGGGACAACATGGTATTTTCTTTTACCCCTGTGTCTCTGGCTTATAAAACAGTGAATTCACTCCTGTTAGATGTAATGAACTGTACACAGATAATTTAACTTCCTATTGTAAATAAGTCCTTGGGGAGCTCATTGAAGTGAGAGCTCCAGTTATATCAGTACCTCTTCAGAAGATGATTCCAGGTCAGAAATCTTCACCTCCAGGTGCCCATCCTCAGAGCTCAGGCAAGAAAATGGAGGGGTTTTATCTATAAATCATCCATTTCTCCCACCAAAAAGATGCAGGGAAGGCAAGCCCAGAAATGTGGTGCAGCAGAGTTGGGCTGTGGTCCCCTTCAGCTGGCCAAATTAATTTTTTCCAGGTCTTTAGAAGTGGGAGACTAGACATGGCACCTATTGTTCCAGACGTCATGCTTATTCAGGGCAACATTACAGTTGGACTTGATGATCTTAAGGTCTTTTCCAACCTTAGTGATTTTATATTCTACAATCGCCTTTCTTCTGCTGCTTGTTTGCTTGCTAAATGCAAATTCCAAATGTTTTATGAGATACCACCCTGGCACCAGTAACAAACAAGTGACTCCACGTGTCGGAGACGTGGGAAGGACACTCACAATGCTAACACCATATCACTAAGTCTGAGGTAAGTACTGCTAAGCAGAGCCAGGCCCCTGCTGAGAACCGCTTCAAGCCCACAAAGCTCAAATCCCATGATGCAGCAATAAAAACTGCTTTAAGACCTCATAGATGATAGAGAGCCCTCTTGGAGAGGTTGGGCCAGAGTTACCCTTGGCTTTCATTAGTCTTGGATTGCTTCAGTACACTGCCAGAGAGCACATATGAATCCTGGCTATGGTGAAACTTTCACATGTGAAAGCATTTAAAAGTATCCTCTGTGCTTTTCAAATATGGCATTTTCAGCTAAAGTTGGGGCTGTGGGGGAGTGGGATCAGCTCACTTTATTCTCTTTACCTCTGGCCCCAGTTTCTAGAAGTTGCACGTCCCTCCAGCCTTGCTGCTTGTGCAAGGTGAATTCCCTTTCCCAGAATCACTTCACAAATGCAGACCACTGGCTAGCTGGATTTCACAACCATTAGTCTTAAGTCCTCAGTGGGTAATTCACCTTACCAGTAATTCACCTTACCTAGTCCATCAGCCCAGCCTCTGTCAGGATAAAAACTCAAACCAAGGCAGCAGAGCCATGATGGAGGATTTTACTAGCTGCAGCTTGCAGACTGAGTTGGCTTTAAAATGGAAATTGGTCTCAGTGATGTAATGTCCATATCATCAAGCTCACCACAATGAATGGATTTTAGTCAGT